AAGCTTTCCATGAATCAGGTTTAATTGTTTTAATGGCTGTAGTGCATGTGTTCACGCTCATGTCAGTGAAATACAATCCAGGTCACCTCTACTCTACCTCAGTGACATTTGTCCATTTATTGAGGTTACTTCTACTGTTATGGAGGCTGAACTAGTCATTCAGATGAGGACACACAGTAGGGATGTCCCGATCACCTTTTTTTGCTCCCGATCCGATTCCGATCATTTGATTTTGACAATTTGCCGATACAGATTTCTCCCGATCCGATCTTTATGCAATGCATTAAGAGAAAAAAAGCATTCAAGTTGTCCCTTAAGGTTATTTTTTTATTTAAATTGGATATTCTATCCAACATGGATATAGCTTCTTTCTTTCACAGCAGCATTGGATCAGTTCAGTTGTGCAGCATTGGATCAAAACAAAATAAAGCTTTCAGTACTCGTTAGCTTACTGCTACAATTAGACACTGCGCCCACTGCCCACTCTGTTGCCAGATTTGAGAGAAATAACCAGGTCTATGAAAACAAGCCCCAAAGAAGCAACACATACATGATGTTCTGTAATTTGAAACCAAAACTAAGGCCTCAGGATGACTTTAAGACTTGAACATGGTCATTTTTGTTTTGTAACATTAAATACAAAATGTAAAAAAAAGTATTTAAAAAAGAAAAAAAAGATTTCCTCCCGATTCCGATCTTTTGAAAATCACGTGATCGGCTCCGATCCCCGATCACGTGATCGGATCGGGACATCTCTACACGACACTATAAAGAAACACACTAAACTAAAAAGACGTTGTTTTATGGACTACACTGAGTGGTGAAGGGATTTGTTTGTAGGCTAACCCAAAAACACGTTCAGAAAACCATTGACTTCAAGACGAGGGACCAGGAATTGCTGAAACGCTGACTCATTTCCTGGTTTTAGGACTCATTCCTGCACCACTCTCTCGTAGGTATCTTTAGGTTTTGATAGTATTTTGTCCCATGTGTCTTCAGGAGCTCTGCAGACGACTCTCTGTTCCCAGGACGGAGGCTGGCGGAGTTAACCGTGGAGCTCAATGCGCTGCTGAACTCGGACGACATACGATTCTTTGACAACAACATGTGAGTTATGGGCAGACTTCCCATTTTAACGAAGCCCAAATAGTCCGAAAAATATCCCATTGCAGCGACCAACGCAAAAAACAGACGCCTATTATTCCCAAGGCCATCGATACCACTCTAGTGCCTTTTATATAGATGGGAAAATACAGCGTACGGGGAAAAATGGAAATTAGTAAGTCTTTGAATTTTGCCCAAAGATGTTTTTTGTTCTTATCAAACTGAAGTATGTTCAAGTATTAACTCTCCTGATAAATGTGTCTAAATTCAGATATTTGATGCTATGAAAAGGAACTTCCTGATTGACAATTTTGATTCTCTCGAAAGTGAAGGTATCTCGAGCTAACGTATTTCACGCTAATGTATATTGCGCTAACATATTCAAACTATTTTGACTTCACATCTGTAGAGTAGAAGAAGTAAGCCACGTGACACACCTTTCTACATGTATTAATCCATGTTAAAGGCATGAGAGTGGTAAATCTTCTCAGAGAATAAGCTAATCTCCAAACTGTTCCTATACCCTTTGCAGTAAATGAACTAAAAGGGTTATTCTTTAGCTACTTGTGTATGATTACAGCCTGTGCTCCTGTGCTCCTGCAGGTACGTCAGAGGATGGTTCAGCCCGTTCCACAGACAGAGGAAGATGGTCACCTCCCTCATCACCCGGCAGATTCACAGCCAAGCATCAACGTGACAATCTTTTATTTCATTACACAGCTTTGCCTTTCATTCATTTCAACATATTCTGAGTTAGAAATACCTCATTTTTAGTTATTTTGATTCAATTAACACTTGTAGTTTCATGTCTTGATTCATAAGAATAGACAATATTTGTTTATCAAATCAAATCAGGTTTTATTTATATAGTACATTTTAAAAAACGATTTGTGGTCGAGCCAAAGTGCTGTACATGCAAATAATAAATAACACATTACTACAATCGCAAAACAGAAGACATTAAATTACAACAGCAAATCAAGTTTAGTGTAATTATGGGAGAATTACTATTCGTGTGGTACTACTGCCTTATTAGGCCCATATTGAGCATATTAAAACCCAAACTCATGCACAACAACGTCCTTACTTAAAAGAAATAAGCACTAATTAGACGGTTATTGAGGAACAACTCTTAGCTAATGGCTTAGTACTTGCAGAATATGGCCATGTAGAATAAGGTATTAATAAGTGTTTTATAATGACCAATAAAGAGCCAGTATACTGCTAATATGCAAGTTAAAGTGGACCTGTCATGCTATATTTGAATAATATAGTGTAGGACCATACCTATATAAGGCATATTTATACTTTTTATTTTTCAAAATACCAAACAGATCATGCATTTTAGCCATTCCTCATTTCGCTCAATGTAACACTGTCTTTGCATCATGGGCTGATTCTGTGAGAACAGCACCATCTACAGGCCTGGCATATGTACTACAGCGTCTCCAGCGCTTTCCAACGGCAATGTCCGTGGCTGTCTCCTCCTGATTGGTGGAGTTGGCCCAATAGCCGTAGCGCCACTTCTGTGACGTCATAGAAGTGTTCAAATCTGGATCAGTCTGTATCAGATCCGCTGCAGCCCCTTTTTAAGAGATTTGGGTATGGAGGAAAAGAGAGAGGGTTGTGTTTTCTGACACTTGGTGAGTTCCCTGGAACACCGGGGACACATGTTCATGTAGAAAAGACGTACAAAAGTGCATTTTGCATGATAGGTCACCTTTAATTAATAACTGGTGAACATGTGTGGAGGCGTTTTAATCCGTGTCTACCTTTAAAAGCCACTTCTCTGTCAGGGTTGTGTTGTTGTGGTTGTTTTGTGGTTGTGTTGTTGTGGTGTTGTTGTGTGTTTTTGTGGGTTGTTGTGGGTTGTGGGTTTCAAACTAATTTAGCGGAGATCGTTGTTGAATCAGATGAGCTTTATTCATTGGTCCAGCCGGAATAGAAACAGGAGGACACATTTCCTCGCCTTAATATAACGTGTTACCGAAATCCCTTCTGCTTTCAGGTATTTGGTTACGATCCAGGAGAAGGTGGAGGCTTTGAAAGAGGAGATGGTTCGTCTTTACCCAGATTCAACAGCCGAGGAGTGGATCGAGGAGCACGTCAGCCCCGTGGTGGCTCCTCTGCAGAGGATCATGGAGGATTTCTCTGCCTGTGTGACCGAAACGCAGCCTTAGAATGTTTTACCAGCTCAATATCAGACTGCTTTTTGATGCATTTCAATGTTGATTTGTTGTTTTTTTGCGACCAGCACTTTAAGTGGCAAAACACATCTGTTTTAGTTCTACCAAATGGTGTAATTGTGAGTGTTGTAACGGCAAAAACAACCTGATTGGTTTTCATTTACCTCTAAGCCTACTGACTACAAATGTGGTGGCTTATTAAGACAATTAGGGGTAAAAGCAAGAAATTAGGGTTGTCGAGGTTACATTATAATAACTGTAATAAATCATTTGTTGTATCAACGCAGTTATGTTTCCCAAAGTCAGATTGAAACTAACTAGCATTTAAAGATTCAAATGGTTCATTTCCACTTGTAAATCTGCATTATATTGCATAACAAGCATATTGTTCACTGCCATGTTAATAGAAATATTAAATACTTGAAAAATCCCGCTTTAGGGTATATTTTTACCTGAAAATAATGTGTTTGCGATTTTGACAGTCCTAATTTCAATATATGATATCACATTTCATATTGAACGCTTGCATTGAGCCTTAATTGTCCCATGGCATGAAGAATTGCATTGTAAAAGCCACTCTTATAGTGAGTGAAGTCTCCTTTTCTGACGTTGTGCAGTGTACATTTGCTTCATACTTAAGGGTTAAGTATAAAAGAAATGTCTACTGCCATCTAAAATGAACAGGAGTGAATGTAAGAGCAACCTGATGAATGTAAATTGCACAAACTGTTAAGGAAATAATACAAAAATGGGACTTTGGGTTTAGTTATAAAATCATTTTATGTAATTCCTTCCAAAATAAACAAAGACTAATAAATCAACAAACAATCACAATTCTCATTTTCTTTTTAAGAGAACAAAAGACACTGGCATTAATCTAAAGTAACGGTAAAGTCTGGGGGAAAAAGTTCAAAATGTAACAATTTAACTTCGACATTAAGAAGTTATTCGTTGAATTTGACAAAAAGTGTATTAAGACAACAACATTTTACACACAATACAGAAAAAAAGGGTATAGTTTGCCTGAGATTCAGTCTTTGGTTCACAAAGTATTAAAAAAAGAACAGAAAAACTACCATAAGTCAAAGCATTTCACATTTAACACTGAATCGAGCCATGAAAATCACTCATGCTTGATTACAGTTTGCTATAAATTCATCTCAACATGCTAAAGGTGATTATTACCTGGGTGGTCCCACAACACTCTGAGAAAAAGCACTTTCCTTTTCATTTACACCCATAAACACTCATTAGAGTTCAGTAGGAAGGCACAGTTAATCTGGAGTGTATTCCCAAACAGTAATTAGATCAAAAAGCGAAGGTATCTTCATTTACTGAGAAAGAACGTTTTTACATAATTCGTAAAATTGTTGACACAACTATGGATGACAAAACATTTAAAAAAGGGTCTAATATGTAACATTTCCAGATTATATTTCTTAAAACAAGACCTATGTTATTTATTTGAGATGTGTATATTCAGGGAAATGTGTAATTTCTCCTGTTAAGGCGTCACATTAGCATGAGTCAGCGTTATCTACTAGGAGCTGTCATAAATTGACTTTCTATCCAGTTTTAAGCCACATTTTTAGCATACACTATGTATATATAGATGGGTTTTAACTCTATATTTTAACCAGGTAAGATATATTTTAGTAAACAGACACCTGGACCTTAAATTACCAAAGAAACAAGCTGAGCAAACGTTAGCCTTTAGGATTTAGCATGAGTCAGCGTTTTCCAGAAGCTGTCATATATTGACTTTTTATACAATTTAAAGCCACATTTTAGCATACACTTTTAGTATATTCAGTAGGATGCTTTTTAACTCTTTAACCAGATGAAAGATTTTAGTAATCGGACATCTGAACCTTAAATTACCAAAGAAACAAGCTGAGCTAACGTTAGCCTTAAGCTAGCATCCAAATAGCATTGGAGAAACACTGGTTTTTAAAAGTAAAACTGCTTTATTCAGTGTATTTATCGGTTTTAATGAATGAATGTTGGTTTCAAAGAAGAGGACACCTCTGTAGATAATTCTGCTGCAGGTCAAATGTTCCTTTTAATATGTATGTAATCTGTGTGTAATCTGTGTTTGGATGCTATTGCTACCATCCAAACAGTGTTGGAGAAACACTGATTTTAACGTAAAACTGATTTATTTAGTGTATGAAGGGGTTTTACTCCATATATGTGTTTTTTTTGGAGAGGAGAAGACCTCAGTGGATTGTTCGGCTTCAATTAAAATCGTCCTTAATACTTTATTGATCAAACATCTGGATTTTAAATGATCAGACCAACAAGCAGAGCAGACATTAGCAGTTAGCTTGTTGCCCATATGTCCAGTGTCTACCAGGGAAACAGTGATTTTTAACGAGAAACTTGATTTATTCAGGGGTTTTCATCAGTTTTAAACAAGAAGAGTGCTTTTTTTTGTAAGGAGACCTCTGTGGATAATTTGGCTTCTGTTAAAAAACCTCCTGAACGATGAAAAACGAAATAATCCTAACCAGGAGAATCTGATTGTAACGATGAACTTCCATGATCAGCTATGACACCATAAAAAAAATGACATAGTGTACTTCAATTTGATAATGCTGCCGTCCCAGTCACATGAAAAATGTCATTTAAATATTTGTACTCCTCCTAAAGCTGCCGTTATCCCACCTGACGTATCCAAAAAAAAAAAACCTGGAAGAGGCTAGATGTTTCATGCTCATGCTAACAGTATCAGTAAACCTGGACCCTCTGTGATGCGTTCAGAGACATCAGAGTTTTTCTGCTTCTTCCTCTGAATCACTGCTGTTATCCACAGAATCCTCCTCTTCCTCCTCTCCTGCATACTGAGCCTTCTCCTCTTTCTCCCTGCGCTGCTGCAGCTCCTCCAGACCCAGGAAACGTTTCAACAAAGCAGCCAATGCCTCCACATCACTGAGAGAAACAGGAGAACACGGATGTTATGCAATTTGTTGTGTTGTGTTATTTAGAAAGAGCCTTTTCTTCTGAAGTTATTTGGATTTAATAATAACTCTTTAATCAGACGATAAGAAGGCTTTGAATCCAAGTTTTACAAAATTAATTGAGTTCATAATGATGTCTTTAAATACATTTATGACTGTTCACAATCTTTTTCTGTGAGAGCTGTGAGAGAGAACCAGAATAATAACACTGGGTATTAAAACCAAAATCATGAATTTTTAAGAGGCTGAAACACTGAAACTATGTGTTTTGAATCTATGTGTTTGTTAAGAGAGACACATTTGTGTGAATATCTTTTTATCCGGAATTTGATCAAGCTGCATTACACCTTATTTTCTATTTTCTACAGAGCCTGTCTCTGATTGGCTGAAACACCAAACAGATCATTGCAGCATTACCCATAATCCCCTCTGTTTCAGCCCTGTTTCCAAAGTGCGATTCTTGTCTGTACTGTTAGTTTAGAAAATAAGGGAGCCCCTCCCCACGCCCCCTTCTGAGAGACATTTGGTTACAAAAGAACTCAAAATGGGAGCTCTAGAGGAAGATTCAGGTGAGGCCGAACCCACCAAC